ATTTGTAAATGAGGAGAAGGAGAAATTTGTATGTAAATAAATTTACCTCAACAATTTTTCCGTGAAATATGTCTATAATCAAAAAATAAAAAGTAACAATCAAAAAATAAACCATTATTTATCTAATAATTACTAACCATAAAAGAGAGTGTGTACTTTACTTTTTACAGTTGTCCAAAGAAAATGACTATAGTTTAACAGTTGTAAGGACTCATAGGATTTCTTGGAGCATGCGGTGAGCGTATCAACACCTTAGGAGCTCGCTTTGGATTCTCATCTCCCATGTCTAAAAGAGAAAGCCCGAAGTCGGAGCTTGTACCACCACCTATAGGTGGTATTAGTGGCTTCACGTTTGACGATGGCGTCTTCGATGGTGTGAGAAAGTTCACGTGATGGTAAACACAAAAGGCATCTCCTATTTGAAGATCCAATACGTCAAGGATGACAAGTTCGAGATCAGAGACCATGGGTCTTATACACAAGACCAAAAAGAGGTAATATGTTTTTGTTGTTTTTTTAATAATTTTGAGAAAACAATACGTTTTTGTTTCAAACTTTGTTTTGTTTATTTAATTGCAATTGCTTTTATTTTTAGGTTGACTTTGAAGTAGAGTATCTAGAAGAATACATCACTGCGGTAACCATCTCATGGACTCTTACATCAACGGAACCTCAAGTGATGGTGATTGTGCTTCTAACCTCATACTCAAGATCGGAGGTGCTTGGTATACCGTGGATAGCAATAGCAAGCAGTACGTGTTGAAGCCGAAGAATGGACTCGGACCAAAGCTTGTAGGCTTCATTGGAACATCCCGTGCTTCGATCAACATTGTCGGAGCTAGATTTTATCTAAATTTTTCCACTGCGGAAACAGAGTCCAAGTCTTCTTTGTTCCTAGTTTCTTTGTTTATGTATCTTATATTGGCTTTTGGAGTAATGTAGTAACCCAAGTAGTCACGAGTTGAGACTATAAAATTATTATGAAATTAAGACTTTTCGATCTTATGAAAGTATGAGATATAATGTGAAGTAAACATAGACCTCTAGTCTACTCGATCTGCTAATATGAGTATCAAAATATACATTACAATCACATGAATGTTTTTGTTTAGTGTGTAAAATTTAATTGATTTTATGGTCTAAA